AAATAAAACAATTATATTTTTTCGCATGAACTCAATCGATAAATCGATTCATTGATTCTTTCCAATCGGATCATCGGATCATTCGCCTTGACTGACTCGAACGAGAAAGAAAAAGCTCGGCGAGGACGGTAATAACGGTATTCGACAAGATGGAAACAAGAATTGCGTATCGATATCGGAACGATCTTATCCACATGTATTTATAAACCGTTCACAAGCAGAAAAAAAACAACATTAAACTTCGCTTTAAACGTTTATTATTTTCCTCTTAATTTGATTACCAAAGAGAATTCGCGATCGAGACACATATTTATATTGAAATTCAATTTCTTCCTTAATAACAACTATTTTTATGATCAATCATTTTACTAAATATACTGATCATTAATTATATAAAATATTGATCAAGTATAAATAGAATTATTGTGTTTTCTTATTTAAATATATTTTTGTAATCTATTTTTTATTATCGGGAGAGTATTAGAAAAATTAATGTTGATTTATGAGATCAAATTTTAAACACGAAATATTTTTATATATATCTTAATGTATATAATATATTTAATATTATTTGATTGTTTATAAAAAGTTTGTATAAGAATTTAATACAAAAAAGAAAATTAATTTAAAATCAACACACACTTTAATATTACGTTACACGAACTTTCCGGGCAATTTATCAACTTTCCCTGTTTCTTTTATTTATTGAATTTGATTGATTTAACAAATGATCATTTTACATTAATGTATTAACGATTAAGTAATCGAGTTAAATGATAGATAATAAAAGATCTAAAAAGGAAGGTACATGAATAAGAATGAAAGTGTTCAGCAATGTATTTACCGACGACACGTGGTTAAAGAACGGACCTTCGGCAAACCCCATGACGTAAGGTCATCGCATATTGTAATGTCTACGGTTGCGACATAGAGTTACACAGTTTGTGCCATATCGAGAATCAATTTCATAAAACGAGAAAAAAAGACACGCGGAAGGAGATCAACTTATATTTTTAAATTCTTTTCCTTATATTTATTTTATTTAATCCTTTTTATCCTACGTCAGAGATCATTGCATCCAAAGAATTACATGGTTTCGTAACCTGTTTATTTGATATCCCTATTAAAATTTCTACTATTATTATTATTATTATTATTATTATTATTTTATACACATTTATATAAATTAATTCATATTTATTTATAACTCTGACCCAACCCTGATGAAATCCTAATACTATAGATATAATATACATTATAAGAGAATAAAATATATTTATAAATAATATATTAATATTTTAATTTAGAAAACAAATATTATAAATAAAATCATATATAATAATTGTTCCAAAGATTCGCGATAAAATGATTATCACAACGAAAACGATCGATTAGAATAAATTATAATTAAAATATACCACACTATATCTTATAAATATTACACGCATTATGAAAATATAAATAGAAAAATATTTCTATAATAATATTTAAAAAAAAAAAAATATATTTGAAGTAGCCAAATCGATTAGTCAAATCTTACGACGTAGGTAATACCGATATCTTGTTATCGGTGTTCTTATTTCTGATCTTTCTCTGTGTAGTATATTCACATACGTTTATGTATGTACACATATACAAATATGTATGTATGTATGTGTGTATGTATTCCGTGAACGTAGGTCACGTATATGCAGGTTGGTTTCTTACGTGCGCTGCCACGTACATCTATATATATATATACATATATACAATACATGCATACATAGGTAAGATACATGTGTATAAATACACGTATGTGCGTTAGACTAGATCCGGGAGTGGTGGGCGACGACGCAAGGTTAGCGAGAAATTTATTACGGATGCTACCGACGACTCGGTGTACGACGAAGGCCTTAAACCGATCCCAATTTCGGAAGCTAAATTTATATATATGGTAACAATAATATATAGTAATAATATGGTATAATGAGGATATACTATATAGTAATAATAATATATAGTAATAATATAGTATATAATAGTAATATATATGGTA